ATTTTTCCCTTGCATCGTGATGCAAGATACCTTCCGCCACGGTGTATGGCACAAAGGAGCCCATTGTGTTCAAATTCATCTCTATATGCTGTGGTGGACTGAACACGTGCTACGACATATGGTATAGAGGATAATTTTTCACTTTTTCTTCCTCTTTCTTTGCCCAGGTGGCTCCCCATCGATCCAGAACCATTTCTAAGGTTGAAATCACCACAAATACATCAAAGTTAAGCCCCTTTAGTCACACAACTCATTAACTCACTAATTAGTCTCACTAGATTAATAAATCAAGATTAAGTTTTCCTGAATGTAACACACACATGATGAACGAGCTTGCAGCAATTGGAAACACCTATACTTAGAAGGAGCAAGTTAGAAAAATCATGGCAGGTCTTCCAGCTAAATGGCAACCTAAAATTACTACCATTGAAGAAACAAAGAGTGACTCCATGAGATCTATGGCAGCACTGTTTGGAAGTTTTGCTAAGCATGAAGGAAGACTATTTATGCTGAAGGAAGATGCGGATAAGAAGAAGTCACTGGCTTAAAAAGTGACAAAGGAAGAATCAGATTTTAAAGCCAAAGTGAAGATTCTAATGAAGAAATGGCTATGTTTATTAAGAAATTTGGCAAATTCTTTGGGAAGAAGAATTTGGAAAAAAATTCTCAAGGAAGAAAGAAAAGGAGATAATTTGTTATAAGTGCAAGAAAGCTTGGACATATTAAGGTTGACTGTTCTTTGAAAGAAGAAAGTAAAAGCTACAAGTATGACAATAAGAAGTTCAAAGCTTATCTCTCTTCAATATGGAGTGATAGCGATGAAGAGTTTGTAGAAGAAGAAGAAAATATCTATCTGATGGCCAAAAGCCATTCTAATCAAGTAAATGATTCTGACTCTTGACTTAAAATTTAATTTTACATTTGAAGAATTAAAAATTTCTTTTCAAGAATTGCATAATGAGTCTTCTTCTTATGAAAAATCTTTCACAAGCCAAAAAGAAATTTGCTATTTTTGAAAAGGAAAACTTGTTTCTCAAATCTGAGAATGATATTTTGAAAAAGAATATTTCTATTTTAGAAAAAAAAAACTCTATGTAGCATTGTCCTCTTCATATTTTAGAAAAGGAAGATTTGAAAAATACTCTTGCAAAATTTGTTAAGGGTAGAGATAACTTAAACAAAATTTTGAGTTAACAAAAAAGTGTATTTGATAAAGCTGGCACAATTATAATTCCAATGAGAAGTAAAAATATTACAAAAACTTCTTTAGTCTTGCTACTATGACTAACTCACCCAAATCCACTTGTTCTTACTGCAATAAAAAAGGGCACATGACTAAGTCATATATTCATAGGAAGCAAGGGTTGACTGAAAATATGAAGTAGGTTTCAAAGGAGTCTACTAACCCACTAGGACCCACATAGATTTGGGTACTGATCTATCTCATATTTTACATGTTAAAACACTTAGTTTTTGGCATCAAATTGTGCATAATAGGATTTAATTTCGGTTTTGAGTTGTCATTTCTAGATTGACTTTATGAACCCTAGTAGTGCTATTTGATGATTGTTTTGACACTTTCATATCCTAAATTGAGATCTTGGGCATTAATTCTCTTCTTTTTCTTTTTATTTCTTTTTGTTTAGAATTTATTTAGTCTTGTGTTTTTATTTTCAGACTTTGTGAGGGCAATTTTGGAATCAAGGATCAAAGGCTAGTCCACATGCTTGGAGAAATTCAAGAGATAGCAAATAAATAAAGATGAAGAATTTAGGGGCTGTTGGGCGCAAATTTCAGAATTATTTGAGGGATGATGTAGCACCATTACTCAGATTTAATTGGTGAGATTAATTAAATAAAAAATCAAAGGAGCGTGAAAAGCATTGAGGGACACATCATCAAGTGAAAAAGGGGCATGGGAGGTGTGACATGATCAGATCTAATTGGATGACATGTGGCAGCTGATTGGGAGCCTAAGGAGGAGTCACATTTCCCACACATGTTCACATGTCCCTTGCCACATTTTCCACCTCATTTTTATTCCCATTTTAGCTTATTTTCGTCCATTTTTCCAGCTCATTTCAGATCTGGACCTTCCTTGTTTTTATCACCATCCACTTTGGTTTTATCACCACTCACATTTTCCACACATACATAAGCTGAATTTTCAGATGAGAGCCTCATAATTCAGATCCCACTCTCTCACTTCAGCCATATTTCTCTCTCTTCTTCTTCATTCATTTTCGTCCAACACTGTTCATCCGTTTTTCAGATTTCATTTCTTCATCTTCAATCATCAACACTTGGTCCAGATCATCATTCCTTCTCTATTCAGATTTTTGTCCACTTTCTTCTCCATTCCAGCTTGCATTTTCGTCCATCTCTTGTCCAGATTTCCAGATTGCAACTTCTTCATCTTCATTCATCCATGAAAGCTTCTCAAGCTCAAGGTCTGATTCAAGCAAAGAGGAAGAGCATGAGAGGCTGATCATTTAGAGCTCCAAGAAAGATGACTTGACATTATGAGATTTCCAGATTTGTAATTGTTGTTCATTTTCTTGATTTTATGTTCTTGTCTTGATTCTTTGAGGATTTCAAATTTTGAACCTGTTTTGGTTGAAGACTTTGTGATTCTAATTCAGATTTGATGAGAATATGAATGTTGAATTTAGATTTTCATGCTATTTTCAGTTCTGGAATTTATGATTTACCTTGATGTTCTAGGGTTATTTCATAAGTTCTTGCTGATTCTTGTTCAAGTTCTTGTGTAGACTTGAGTTAGATCCATATTGGTTATATAAATTTGACTTAAGCTGTTTTTCTTCCACTAGTTTTGGTCTGAAACTTGTGTAGAACAAGGCTGAATATAGTGTTAATTTCTAAGTTCACTTGACCTAGATTCATTAGTGTCCGTTGAGTCTAATGGTGCACCACACTTAGAGGTTTCTAAGTGTCTCATTTTAGGTTAATCAAGAAGGTTTATGATGTTATAATTCTGGAAATCAATGATTAATGTTAGGAAATCTGACTTGGGCTCACCATAATCATCATTCATTTCATTCCAACTAAAACAGAATTTTACAAACATTTATTGTTGTATTATAGAGTTAGTTTAGTCACTTGAAAATTCAGATTAATTTGTAAGCATTTGAACAATGATTTGTATGCTTTGCTCTCTAGGGAAATGACCTAGAATACTCACTTCTACATTCTAGTAAAATTTGATAACCCAAGGCGACTAAAGGGTTCATCAATTGGCGCCGTTGCCGGGGAGCAACTAGCCATACTAATTGTAGTTTCAATTGCTGTTTTAATTTGCTTTGCATTTTGGCTTAATTCTGTAATTTGTATTGTGGTGGCTGACTTGTGTTTTCTAAGCATTTGATCTCTTGTTTGGTCTGTTTGCTAATGGATATAGTCACCATAATATTGATTCTGGACGTGCAAGCCAAATCTATCAAGGTTAGCTCAAGTGCCAGAAAGCTCTGAGAATTTGCTCTGCCCAGAAATTTTGCACGAAATTTGGACAGGTATAATTTTCGCTAGACATATCATTTTGAGCTGATTCTTGTTTCATTGTGTTCTTGGTTATCTTAGAAACATTTTTTCTGTTGAACATAATTGCTAATTCGGCCATTAAATTGGTTGACTTTTTGCTTGACTAAAACAGGGTTCACTGGAAATTCCAGTGCTGTAGACCTTAATTCGAAAAAATACTGGGAAGAATTGATTGCGAATTTTTCCTTGAAAATTGGACTGTATAACCTTCTGTGTGTTGAAAGTTTCAGGTAAAAATTTCAGCTCAATTTGATTCGGGACCAGAGAGTTGTGCACTGAACACATAGGGTCCACTGCTGACTCCCAGTGACACTCCAGGCAGACAGGGCTAATTTTGGATGAGCATATCTCTTTCTCTATTTGCAAATTTTGTTTATAAAAATTCCTGCATTTAATTCAGTGTTTTAGCTTTAAATTTTTAGTTTTGATTTTTTTCTAATTTTGTCTTTTTCACATTCGAAAATTTTTTACAAAAATACTGCCTCAGTGTGTTTCAATTCTGCCAGTTTTCAGAATTTTTGCCTACTTTCGTATTTTTGATTTTTCTTTGGTCCAGTGCTATTTCTGTGGTGTTCTGAGCTTTATATGTCTTGTAGGACTTGCAAAGAACTTGGTGAAAATTGTATTGAATTTAGAGATCAATACTTAGAGTTCTTAGCATCTTCTTCTCTTCCAAACACCATAGTTGATAATTCTGTGATTTTGGACAGTATGACTGATAGATTGCATGGTAATGAACATGAAATACCTGCTAGGAGGAGTATTAGAGAGATGGTAGCACCTACTGATACATTTAGACCTAGTGGTTTGTTTTTGAATTTACAAGAACAAAATGAGTATGAAATCAAACCTTCATTGATTAATGCTTTGCCAAAATTCCATGGCCTTGCAGGTGAGGATCCTAATAGGCATCTTCAAATACTTGAGAGGGTTTGTTCAACCATGAAGCCTCCCACAGCAAACTTGGAGAATTTGATGCTCAAGGTCTTCTATTTTACTCTTGAGGACAAAGCAATCACATGGTTCAATACTCTTGCCACAAGGACCATCAATTCTTGGGTGGAGATGCAAAATTGCTTCCTTGAAAAATATTTTCCAGCAACCAAGTATTCTCAACTAAGGAAGCAAATCATGGGGATGCAACAACACCCTCAAGAATCTCTTTATGAGTATTGGATGAGGTTTCTTGAGTTGCTTGCAAAGTGTCCATACCTAAATGTGGGCAAGGAGTTCCTCATTGATTATTTCCATGTGGGGTTGCAAATTCATGATAGAGAGACCATAGATGCTGCTGCAAATGGCTCTCTATTAGATCTTCCACCGGATGATGCATGGACCTTGTTGGAAAAGCTTGCAAATAATAACCAACAATATAGCTCAAGAGATGCAAGGGGTGTTCACCAAGTGGGCCAATCTTCTTTGCTAATTCCCAATTGGAGGATATCTACTCTCAATTGGATTTTCTCAAGATGTCTATCTCCAATCCTATACAAGCTCAGATTGCTTCTATGTCCAATGCTCTAGTGGCTCCTATTTGTGGTATATGCAATTCAACAATGCATATCACCTCTAATTGCATGCATGCTCAAGATGTTGGGGCTATGTATCAACAACAAAGGCCCTACAATTATCAACATAACCAAGGAGCAAGGAACAATTTTGAGGCTAACTATGGGAGCACATATAACCCAAGTTGGAGGCAGCACCCTAACTTCAGCTACAAGGGTAATCAAGAGGTTGTGCAAGCCAAGAATTCTCAAGTGATCCATATTCAAGATGGTGGAGGTGATAAACAAATGTATTCCTACCTTGAGAGGATGGGTGATGCTATGTTTTCTATGGGTCAAAAGTTTGATTCTCATGTGTCTAGGGCAGAATCAAAAATAGACATGATGCTTAAGAGGCTAGACAATCTTGAATCAAAGCAACAAAGCACTGATTTGGTGGTGCAACAATTTGGGAATTCAAATAGCATTAGCCAAGCTCAAGGAAGTGGAAAGCTCCCAACTCAACCTGTCATCAATCCAAAGAGCCTTAGTGCAATTGAGTTGAGGAGTGGAAGAGTTTTTGAAGCCATTCCAAATACCTCAAACCATAGTGGCAGCAAGCCTAATGAGGTTTTTTCAAGGAATTCTCAAATTTGTGAAGGAAGATCACTTTTTCTTGCTGATCCACGTGATTCCACTTGCTGTGACAGCAAGCTAAATGTGCATCCAAGTGCCTCACATAGCCTCAAGAACACGCCTCCTACTTCTCTAAGTCCTCAAGTGATTGATGATGAGGATGACTCTATTGAAGAGATTGTAGTTGAGGATGCAAATGGGGCAAGATCAGCCCTGAATGCTCAAGAAAAAGAGGTGAAATTGAGCTCAAATCAAGGCCAAGACAGTGCTGGAACAGCCACGGTTCATCCATCTTCTAAGGCAAATGAGAATGATTCAAGCAAGCCTAAGGAGAAAGAGGTGTTGGGAAGAAGAGAGCCTCCAAAAGAATATCAAATTGGGGACCCTATTCCATGGGATATGCCATTCCCTAAGGCCTTGACTAGATTTGCTAAGAAAGAGCAAGAAGAAGATAGGCATGATGTGTTTGATATGTTGAAGAAGGTGGAAGTGAACATACCACTTCTTGAGATGATAAAAAGCATGCCTAAGTGTGCAAAGTTTTTGAAGGAGTTGTGCACTAATAAAAGGGGATTCAAACCATTGGCTACAGTTCAAATGAGTCTTAATATTAGTGCTATCTTCAAGCCACAACTCCCTCTAAAGTGTAGAGATCCGGGGGCATGTACCATTCCTTGTCAAATAGGGAATGTGTTTGTTCAAGAAGCCTTGATTGACCTAGGGGCAGCCATCAATGTGATGCCCACTCACATTTATTCTTCACTTAATCTTGGTGGTCTTCAAGATTGTAGTGTCATCTTGCAACTAGCCGACCGGAGCACTAGGAAGCCTAAGGGATTCTTGGAAGACATCTTAGTGAAGGTTAAGGACTTGGTTTTTCCAGCAGATTTTTATGTGTTGGATATGCAAGAAGGAGGCCAAGGCACACTCATTCTTGGGAGACCTTTTATGATGACATCAAGTACTATATTGAACATGAAGGAAGGTAAACTTACCATGGAGTTTTTGGACAGCAAGATTGAATTTAACATATTTGATAGCTTGAAAAACTCTTATGTTGATTATAGCCTTCATTTTGTGGATTGCATTGATGATACACTTGATGGAATCATTGATGAGGTTTCTATGCCTCCTAGCTTGGATGATGTTGCATCTTTGCCTAGTTTCACCTGTTCATGCACTCATGACTCTATTTGTGTGAATTGCAATAATATAGTGTTAATTTTGTCTAATTTGAAAAATCAAGATGAATTGCATTCACTTGAGCATGAGCATTTGAATGGCAACACACTTGACATGCCTCACTCATCTACTTGCACTCCATTTGAAGCACTTGTGTTGTCTAGTTCTTCACATGACCAAACATATGCTTCCTTGAGTGATTTGCTTGCATTGGATGAGTTTGATGATTTGAGTATCAATTCTGGAAATTCTGTTGATTTAGTGATTGAATCAAGTGATGAGAGTGAAATTGCATCTAATGATGGCCCTAGTTCATCTTCCACATGTCATATTTCATCACATCATTTGATTTCTTCTAGTGAATTTAATTCTGGAATTTTTAACAGCTTTAATCCTTTTGTGCATAATCATTCTCCAAGGTTGGAGGAGTGTTCTACTTGTGATGTTTCAGGTTTAGGGACACTTGAAAAGCATGAACAAAGTGATTTTGAGGCTGTTAATGATCCAAGGGGCGTGCAAATTGGTGCTGAAAGTCCAGAATCAGATCTGACCAAAATGGGAATTAATTTTAGAGCAAGCCAACCAGATCTGGACGTGAGGCACAAAGTTGGAACAAAGCAAGTCAATTTGGACGAAATTTTGCATATAGCAGCTGTTGGAAGCTTGTACATGCCACTTAAAGAGGAAGACATGGATCTGGCAAGACAAATTCAAGTGCAAAAGATTCCTCCAAGCATCATTGAGCCACCCAATCTAGAGTTGAAGCCACTTCCTTCACATCTTAAGTATTCTTACTTAAAAAATGGTAATCAACTTCCTATTATTGTTTCTTCTTCACTAACCCCTATGGAAGAGTCTTTGTTGTGTGATGTAGTGAGGAAGAACATTGAAACCATTGGGTGGACACTTGGAGACATTCCTGGAATTAGCCCTCAAACTTGCACACATAGGATCATGTTGGAGGAAAATGCTAAGGCAATAAGGCAGCCACAAAGGAGGTTGAATCCTCTCATACTTGATGTGATAAAGAAGGAGGTCACCAAACTCTTGAGTGCAGGTATAATCTACCCTATTAGTGATAGTGAATGGGTGTCTCCATTGCAAGTTGTGCCCAAGAAGAGTGGAATTACTGTGGTAAAGAATGAACATGATGAATTGATTCCTACTATGGTACAAAATATTGGAGGGTATGCATTGATTATAGGAGGTTGAATGAGGCAACCAAGAAAGACCATTTCCCTCTCCCATTTATTGATCAAATGTTAGAAAGATTAGGGGGGAAATCTCATTATTGCTTCCTTGATGGATATAGTGGTTATTTTCAGATTTGCATTGATCCGGTTGATCAACACAAAACCACTTTCACTTGCCCATTTGGTACCTTTGCATATAGAAGAATGCCTTTTGGATTGTGTAATGCTCCAGGGACTTTCCAAAGATGCATGTTTGGTATTTTTAGTGATTTTATTGAAAATTGCATGGAAGTGTTCATGGATGATTTCACAATTCATGGGGATTCTTATTCTTCTTGCTTGAGAAATCTTGATAAAGTCCTTGCTAGATGTGTGGAGAAGAACTTGGTTTTGAACTTTGAGAAGTGCCATTTTATGGTTGAGGAAGGGATTGTCTTGGGCCACTTGGTTTCAAGCCATGGCATTGAGGTGGATAGGGCCAAAATTGAAGTGATTTCATCTTTGTCCTATCCAACTAATGTCAAGGACTTGAGATCTTTCCTTGGCCATGTGGGTTTTTATAGAAGATTTATTAAAGATTTTTCAAAGATTGCACATCCCTTGTCTCAATTACTTCAAAAAGACAAATTTGAGTTCTCTCCAAGTTGTAGAGATGCATTTGATGCTTTGAAGGCTAAGCTTGTTTCCCCTCCTATTTTGAGGATTCCTAATTGGTTGATTCCATTTGAGATTTCATGTGATGCCTCTAATTTTGCTGTTGGGGCTATGTTGGGACAAAGGGAAAACAAGCTACCTTATGTTATTGCATATGCATCTAGGACTTTAGACAAAGCACAATGCAATTACACTACAACCGAGAAAGAATTGTATGCATTAGTGTTTGCTCTTGACAAGTTTAGATCTTACTTGTTGCATTCCAAGGTTGTTTGTTTTACAGATCATGCGGCCTTAAAGTACCTTTTAAAGAAGAAGGACACCAAGCCACGTTTGCTTAGATGGATGCTTCTACTTCAAGAGTTCAATTTGGAGATCATTGATAGGAGTGGAGCAACAAATCATGTGGCGGATCACTTGAGTCGATTGCCTTATGACTCCATTATGGTGAATTCCTCTTTTGATTTCCCTTGTGATGAGTTTAGGGATGAGTCATTATGTGCTATTTCTTCCCATGATGTTGTTTGGTATTCTGATTTGGTCAATTTATTGGTGCATAATGTGTTTCCAAATGGGATTACTAGACATGCTAGGGAGAAGCTTGCTAGGGAAAGTAGATACTATGTTTGGGATTCACCTACTCTTTGGAGATTGTGTAGTGATGGTGTCATTAGGAGATGTGTTCCTGATGTTGAGATTGATGATGTGTTGAGGATGTGTCATACTTATGCATGTAGTGGTCATTTTAGGGTTAGGAGGACCGGGCAGAAGGTCTTAGATTGTGGTTTATATTGGCCATCTCTTTTTAGAGATGCACATCAATTTTGCAAAGCATGTCATGCATGTCAACATTTTGGGAGTTTGGGAAAGAGACATGAAATGCCACAGGTGCCCATTATATTTTGTGAGATCTTTGATGTTTGGGGTATGGATTTCATGGGTCCTTTTGCCTCTTCCAATGGTTGTGAATATATATTGCTTTGTGTTGATTTTGTTTCTAGGTGGGTTGAGGCTATCCCCACTAGAACTAATGATGCCAAAGTTGTGGCGAAGTTTCTTTTATCTCATGTGTTTTATAGGTTTGGCATCCTAAGAGCAATCATCACAGACTAAGGGACACACTTTTGCAACAAGACTATCTCCTCTTTGCTTCAAAAATATGGTGTTCTACACAAGGTGGCAACCCCATATCATCCTCAAACAAATGGGTTGGCTGAGTGTTCGAACAAGGAGATCAAGTCTATCCTCCAAAAGATAGTGAGACCGAATAGGAAGGATTGGAGCTCAAGACTTGAGGAGGCTCTTTGGGCATACCGGACCGCCTTCAAGACACCCATTGGGATGTCTCCATTTTTAGGTTGGTCTATGGTAAGCAATGTCACCTGATGAACCCTTTAGTCGCCTTGGGTTATCAAATTTTACTAGAATGTAGAAGTGAGTATTCTAGGTCATTTCCCTAGAGAGCAAAGCATACAAATCATTGTTCAAATGCTTACAAATTAATCTGAATTTTCAAGTGACTAAACTAACTCTATAATGCAACAATAAATGTTTGTAAAATTCTGTTTTAGTTGGAATGAAATGAATGATGATTATGGTGAGCCCAAGTCAGATTTCCTAACATTAATCATTGATTTCCAGAATTATAACATCATAAACCTTCTTGATTAACCTAAAATGAGACACTTAGAAACCTCTAAGTGTGGTGTACCATTAGACTCAATGGACACTAATGAATCTAGGTCAAGTGAACTTAGAAATTAACACTATATTCAGCCTTGTTCTACACAAGTTTCAGACGAAAACTAGTGGAAGAAAAACAGCTTAAGTCAAATTCATATAACCAATATGGATCTAACTCAAGTCTACACAAGAACTTGAACAAGAATCAGCAAGAACTTATGAAATAACCCTAGAACGTCAAGGTAAATCATAAATTCCAGAACTGAAAATAGCATGAAAATCTAAATTCAATATTCATATTCTCATCAAATCTGAATTAGAATCAAAAGTCTTCAACCAAAACAGGTTCAAAATTCGAAATCCTCAAAGAATCAAGACAAGAACATGAAATCAAGAAAATGAACAACAATTACAAATCTGGAAATCTCATAATGTCAAGTCATCTTTCTTGGAGCCCTAAATGATCAGCCTCTCATGCTCTTCCTCTTTGCTTGAATCAGACCTTGAGCTTGAGAAGCTTCCATGGATGAATGAAGATGAAGAAGTTGCAATCTGGAAATCTGGACAAGAGATGGACGAAAATGCAAGCTGAAATGGAGAAGAAAGTGGACAAAAATCTGAATAGAGAAGGAATGATGATTTGGACCAAGTGTTGATGATGGAAGATGAAGAAATGAAATCTGAAAAACGGATGAACAGTGCTGGACGAAAATGAATGAAGAAGAAGAGAGAGAAATCTGGAAAAATCTGACAAGTGAAGGTGAAGAATGAATACGAAAAATGAAAAATGAAGGATTAAGTATGTGTGGAAAATGTGAGTGGTGATAAAACTAAAGTGGATGGTGATAAAAACAAGGAAGGTCCAGATCTGAAATGAGCTGGAAAAATGGACGAAAATAAGCTAAAATGGGAATAAAAATGAGGTGGAAAATGTGGCAAGGGACATGTGAGCATGTGTGGGAAATGTGACTCCTCCTTAGGCTCCCAATCAGCTGCCACATGTCATCCCATTAGATCTGATCATGTCACACCTCCCATGCCTCTTCTTCACTTAATGATGTGTCCCTCAATGCTTCCCATGCTCCTTTGATTTTTTATTTAATTAATTCTCCCCAATTAAATCTGAATAATTGTGCTACATCATCCCTCAAATAATTCTGGAATTTGCGCCCAACAGCCCCTAAATTCTTCATCTTTATTTATTTGCTATCTCTTGAATTTCTCCAAGCATGTGGACTAGCTTTTGATCCTTGATTTCAAAATTGCCCTCACAAAATCTGAAAATAAAACACAAGACTAAATAAATTCTAAACAAAAAGAAATAAAAAGGAAAAGAAGAGAATTAATGCCCAAGATCTCAATTTAAGATATAAAAGTGTCAAAACAATCATCAAATAGCACTACTAGGGTTCATAAAGTCAATCTAGAAATGACAACTCAAAATCGGAAATTAAACCCTATTATGCACAATTTGATGCCAAAAACCAAGTGTTTAAACATGTAAAATATGAGATAGATCAATTCCCCCACACTTGGATTTTGCTGTCCGGGCAAAACTCTCTCAAAACCTAGACAAGTAAACAACACAAAAATACAAGCTCTCAAGAGTAAATCCTATTTTCAAAGTCAATGCATTATCACAAGAACCAAACCAATGTTGCAATCTTTAGAGAAAACCTTAATACATCACAAGTAAACCATTTGCAAGAATGTAATCTCAAAGAGAAACCTCATCGGATTAGTGTTTCACTCTAGCACTCGGTGTATAAGGGTACAAATATCACTCAAGTTCCTTGGCAAGTCATCCTACCATAGGCTTGTAATCCCTCTATCTCTCCACTACTAAGATGCAAGGGTTCTCAAGAATCATATGGACTTTCAAAGGATGTAATGTGCTCAATGAATGGTATACTTAGATTTGCATGTGAAAGAGGTAGGGATTGGCTCAAGAAACTTATCTTGGCCACAATGTAGGTATGCTCAATATACAAGACTACTTAAAACCAAACCCAATAGATAACATAATAGGGATCATGGATGGAATGAATAATTGGCCAAGAATGAGATGAAATGATAGAGATAATAGAGATGAGATGTGAATCTATAAGTAGGAACAAGTGAATCAAATAACAAACCCAAGAAAGCTTGCTTATTCAAACTCTTTCTTTTGCTTTTCTTTGATCCACTTTAGATCTTTTTTCTCAAGTATATTTTTTTTCTTTCTACAATCTTTTTTCTTCTTTCTTTTGTATCACTTCTTTCTTTGTTTTGTTTTTTTTTTCTCTTGCAGTTTGTTTTTTTTATTTCATTTTTTTTCTCTTTGTTTCTCAAGGCATAGCTTCCAATACTTGGGTACAACTCAAGAAATGTTCCTTAATCATAAGAATGGTAGGTATGGCCAATGTGAATGAGTAAAATAGATCCCACTAGATGTTATCTACTAGTTTAATTAAAAATAGTCAATGCACATTGAAACATACCAAATGAAAATACATGCAATCTATCCAAGATAGGTCAAGTGTTTAAAAATGACAAAAAATAAAGAAAGGCTCTATTTGGCTAAGCAAGGGATAATCAAGTAATCAAGGGTTAGCTAAAAGGCCTTGGGCACTTTAATGATGGCCATAATCACTTTCCCTACAACCAATGCACAAATGTAGCCTCAAGTAAGAGAGAAAATAAGTTCTAGAGGATTAACAAAACCAAGGAACATAGATCTCTCAATGGTTGAAGGCCCCTTCCATATGGTCTATTATTGCCTCTCTTAATCAATTACACTAAACCAAATAGTTTCTTGCTTCAAAACAGATTTAAGCTAAAGAAAGCAACATCTCAAAAGTTCAAACTTCAAATGCAAAAACTAAGATCATCTTCAAAACTCAAGATTGCTCACAAAACAAAGTTTTTTTTTTTCAAAAACACACTTTCCCCCACACTTAAACAATGCATTGTCCCTAATGCATGCAAAAATCATGATAGAAAGAATAAAGTTCAAATCTGTAATGCAAGTAAAAGTGCAAGAAAAATAGTCATTTAAAAAAAACAAAGAGAAAACCTAAAACAAAAACCTAATCAAAGACCCAAATTTTTTTCAAAATTTTCTTCTTTTTTTTTACCTACTGAAATAGGTCATATCTCCCCCCACACTTGAACTCAAAATAATATTCACAAACACAAACACAAGCAAAGAAAAAGGGTGTACCACATGTGTGCAATAGTGACAGCAAGCACATCCCAAAAAGTGCTCCACTTGTGTGATTTGTGAATCAGCCAAAGCAATCAAAAAGGAAATAGGAAGGAGAGATACAACCTTTAAAGAACTCAAGGAGGATCTTTATAGTGGAGGGCCTCAAGTTGAAACCTCTTCTTGTGATCTCTTTGATACGTGCCCTCATACCCTAAAGAAGAAATCACAAGAAAAATGTAGAGATGTGATATAGAAGCATCCAAGTACCTAGCACACCCAATGAAATCTAGCAAATTCAAATCATCATAGAATAAGCTAGATGTGCTAGTCAACTCAAAAATCACACCCCCACACTTAGGATTCATCATGTGGTTAGTTCTTAGTAAAGGTATATGAAATGCAAACTTCTTAACTAAGAACTCAAATATGGCATCATGGATATAATCATGTAAACTCATAAAATGAAACTCAATTTCACCAAGGTGGGGAGGAGTAAAATTATGCAAATAGATGCCAAAATCATCTTTAGCTCTCAAAATCAAATCAATAGGTGCATAAGAATCAAAAGTTTTAGGAGCTAAATGCAAAACAGCATACATGGAATCCTCAAAATCAAATAAAAAGGACTCATTCTCAATATCATCCAAAGTGCAAGTCATATCATGAGAGTAAAAAGAGAAACTGTCAAGATGTGAAGCATCAATATGAAACTCGGTTCCTATTGCACTTTGGTGCTCATCATGAATCTTGATCTCCCTCTCCAATGCTTCACCTAAATCATCAAAACAGCAACTCTTCTCTACACAATGGTCAAGATCAAGTGAAACATCAAAAGAGAATGTGGCATAACCAACACTATAATCAATGAAAGAATAAAGAATATCACCACCACAATCTAATGAACTAGAGCCAATAGAATGAGGTGCACTCTCTAAGCCACAAATGGAAGGAGAATCATAATCAAGCAAAGATATAGACTCATCTAAGGAGAATGTAAAAGTAGACAAGTCTATGGAATCATCAATCAAAGTGGCGCCTAGTGGTGGTGTAAAATCCATAACACCTTGTTCTTCTTCATCCTTAGACACCTCAAAACCTGAAATAGCACAAGAAGAACTCTCCTCCAAAGATGGAGAAGGATTAGGCGCACAAAAGCAATAATCATCACAAATTCCACAATGCATCAAATTAGTGCAAGACAAGTGATGTGGTGTCATGTCACATGAAAGAGATGAACTAGAGCCATCATAATGTACCAAAGCACTAACATCACTTGACTCAATCAATGGTGCGCAAGAAATTCCAGAATTGGCATTCAAATCATGAACTTTATCCAAAGCAATCTCATCACACAAAGAAGCAAGAGTATGATCATGAATAGAAGTAGAAGTGTCATGCGCTTCAATGTGGTCAATATGGGATGAATCATGCATATCAATTGAGTGTTCACGCTCATGTGAATGCAAATAATCAAAATCCTTAAAATTAGACAGAATTGAAGCAACATCTTTACAATTCACACAAGTAAACTCATGGGTGCAAGAACATGTAGAATCAAGCAAGGAATCATTAATCTCACAATAGGAAGCATGGAGACCTCCTCAACAACTACATCCTCAATAATATGAATAAATGAAGGCTATAAGTCACAAAACAGTTTTTCATGCTATCAAAAATGTTAAATTCAATTTTTTTATCTAAAACTCCATGGTGAGTTTACCTTCTTTCATATTCAAAATGGTACTTGAAGTCATCATAAAAGGTCTCCCAAGGATAAGTGTGCCTTGGCCTCCTTCTTGCATATCCAACACATAGAAATCTGCTGGAAAAACCAAGTCTTTCACTTTTACTAAGATGTCTTCCAAGAATCCCTTAGGCTTCCTAGTGCTCCGGTCGGCTAGTTGCAAGATGACACTACAATCTTGAAGACCACCAAGATTAAGGGAAGAATAGATATGAGTGGGCATAACATTGATGGCTGCCCCAAGATCAATCAAGGCCTCTTGAACAAACACATTCCCTATTTGACAAGGAATGGTACAAGCCCCTGGATCTCTACACTTTAGAGGAAGTTGTGGCTTAAAGATAGCACTCACATTAGGACTCAATTGAATTGTAGCCAATGGTTTGAATCCTCTTTTATTAGTGCACAACTCCTTTAAAAACTTTGCACACTTAGGCATGCTTTTTATCATGTCAAGAAGTGGTATGTTCACTTCCACCTTCTTTAACATATCAAACACATCATGCTTATCTTCTTCTTGTCCCCTCTTAGCAAATCTAGTCAAGGCCTTAGGAAATGGCATATCCCTTGGAATAGGGTCCCCAATTTGATATTCCTTTGGAGGCTCTCTTCTTCCCAACACCTCTTTCTCCTTAGACTTGCTTGAATCATTCTCATTTGCCTTGGAAGAAGGGTGAACCGTGGCTGTTCTAGCACTGTCTTGGCCTTGATTTGAGCTCAATTTCACCTCTTTTCTTGAGCATTCAGGGCTGATCTTGCCCCATTTCATCCTCAACTATAATCTCTTCAATAGAGTCATCCTCATCATCAATCACTTGAGGACTTAGAGAGGTAGGAGGCATGTTCTTGAGATTGTGTGAGGCACTTGGATACACATTTAGCTTGCTGTCATAGCAAGTGGAATCACGTGAAGCATCAAGAGGAAGTGTGCTTTCATCACAAATTTGAGAATTCCTTGAAACAACCTCTACTAGGCGTGCTGCCACCATGGTTTGAGGCACTTGGAATGGCTTCAAGAACTCTTCCACTCCTCAACTCAATTGCACTAAGGCACTTTGGATTAATGACAGGTTGAGTTGGGAGCTTTCCACTTCCTTGAGCTTGGCTAATGCTATTTGAATTCTCAAATTGTTGCACCACCAAATCAGTGCTTTGTTGTCTTGATTCAAGATTATCTATCCTCTTTAGCAACATATCCAACTTAGAATCACCATGGGAAATATAAGAATCCATCTTTTGGCTAAAGTTGCTCATGGTGTTCTCAAACTTCTCAAGGTAAGAGTGCATTTGGTTATCCCCCCACCATCTTGAATAGAGAAGGGTTGGATATCCTCCAGGTTGCCTCCATAACTAAAAATAGAGTGTTGCA